GAAAAGAACAATTATGTTTTAAAGCATGCACCTGTCTACTCCAGCTGGTTGATATAGAATCTTGGTACTCTGTTTATATAATGACAGTTGTCTGATGAAAGAAATTAGACATTCAGTATTTTGAAAGCAGGTTGAGTAATAAGATTAATTTTCATTTTAAAGGCTTACACAATTAAAAAGAAAGGGATGCATTATATAAAAAATAAAGAAGCTAATGCTTTCCCATTTTGTTTTCATTTTACAGGTAGTAATGATTTTAAATAAAAGCAAATAGGTAGGAATAAATTAAATTGATTTGAAAATATATAGATACCCTAAAGGCAAGTAGTTCAATGTTGTTTGCATAGCTAGAAATAATCAATTTATTTAAAAAACAGGTGTGTTTTTATAGCCCTGGTATAATAGAAATGGGTGATTTGGGCTCTTTATATGTTTATCATAGGTCTCGCTTAATGATTTCAATTTTGGTAACTTTTCTCTTAATTTCTGCATACTCCCTATTTTTTCTTCTTTATTTCCCCTTACAATGGGCTAGGATTTTCTTCTTTTAAAAATTGTTATATTGACTTAATTTAAGCCTGCAAAGAGTATAGGGAACCCAATAACATACCTGTGTATCCATTATCTAGCCTAAGAAGTTAAACATTATACATATAGTTGAATTTCTCCTTTGTGTGCCTCTTGAATTGCACCGTTTTCTCCCCACTCCCCATACTCCTAAATATGGAGTTTGCCATTCTTACGCATATTTTTATATCTTGACTAACACTACTATATACATGTGTGTACAGAAACAATATATGGGTGGCATTGTTTTATGTTTTTAAACTTTTGTATCCTAAAACTTTTTTTTCCCTCAAATATGTTTATGGGATTTATACTTGTTGCCACTTGTAGTTTGAGTTCAGGGATTCTCAGCCTTGGTGCTATTGATATTTAGGGCTGGATAATTCTTTGTTGTGAGGAGGTTTCTTGTGGCTTGTAGTATGTTTAGCAGTATCCCTAGCCTCTACCCACTAGATGCCAGTAGCACTTCTCCTCCCTATCTCAAGTTGATAACAACCCAGAACATCTCCAGACATTACCAAATGTCCTATTGGTGGTGAAATCGTCCATCCTCCCAGTGAGAACATCTATTTTAGTTCATTGATTTTAACTTCTGTGTCATGCTTTATTATATGAACACTACAACCTATTTTTCCATTTTTTGTTGATGGACATTTAGGTTATTTCCAAAGTTTTAACTGTTAGGAAAACTGTTGCAATGAGCATTTTTGTCCATGTTTTCTTGTGCACATGAATAAAATTCTCTCAGAGGTAATATGGCTAGGAGTGAAAATGTTGAGTTCTAGTATGTGCATATCTTCAACTCTACCAGCTATCACCAAGCAGTTTACCTAATTGTACTAATTTACACTCTAACCAGCTAAGCAAGGGAGATCCTGTGTTCCACATCCTTACCAATACTTGATATTGTCAGATTTTGAAATTCTTTTCTACCTCATGGGGGGTAAATTACTTCATTGTGTTTTTAATTTGCATTTCCTTGATTACCACAAGGATCAAAAATTATCCATATATAACTGTATCCAAAAAATTTAAATTTTACTGTATGATAATTTATTAAGAATCCAGAAACCTTTCCTAGATTATGAGGTTGAATTATTTTAAGGGAATTTTAAAATGATGTTTGAGTTTCTGTGATCAGGTTTAAGAAGTGGTTTTGAGCAATCAGATTTTATATGTATGCCATGTTTTGTACTCAACTTCTTCAGTTTCTGTTTCCAAACCAGAGATGATGATCTATCTAGTCATAGTATGGTTCCTCTTCTTAGAAAATGGTATCAACAATGGAGATTACCATCTGTGTTTAGGGAGTGGTTCAAAATACTTTAATAACTAGAAGTTCTTTCCCTCAGTGCTGTATGCTCTTGTTCTTAGAGTTACCCTTTACTAATAGCTGCATGCCAGACTTGTCTCTTTGATATTGTGATTTCCCAGAAGCCTACATTTTTTTCCCCACACCATATGAAACTGTTTATGCTCTTACTCTGTTTTCTGAGTCATTTTGCTACATGCAATGGGAGATTACAAAAGATGTTCCTGGTTTGGTACCTATATTTAAGACATTTAAATTTAAAAAGATGGACATAACGTATATTACAAAATCAACTAGAATTGTGTATGTATGTAATAGAGTAGTAAGAGTGAGATGTAATTCTCTGAGGTTTTGCATGTAAGGTCTAATTTAAAGAGTTTTGAAAAAACAACGCAATGAAAGCAGAAGAAAATATGCATATATTTATCGGTGGTTGATTTTACATGCTTAAGTTAGGATGTAGTTAGAAAACTGGCTGTATTAATGTAATTTTTGTGCTCAGATATTCTGGCCTCCCCAATATGTACTTCCCAGGTAAATTATTAAGTTATTTTAAAAATGCCTTTCTGTTTGAGTAGTCTTTCTCAGTTCTTCAGTAATCCTAAGAGATATTCCAGTACTTTGGTTTGGGACATACCCCATAATAAAACTATTTCAATCTTACCTTCTTAACTACCCAGGTAAACTAGCCTTCATCTGCTGAATGTATCATATTCCAAAAGTTTGTTACCAATTCTACTGTTTGAACTTGACATTTTTCTCATAAAACAATTTAGTCAACTTTGGTAATATTCCTAGATCAGCCCTCAAAAGCACCATTTGACTTCTAAGATATGGGACCTATGTAGTGCTAACTGTGAGTGCTGTCCTGGAGGCAGGCAGGAACGTGCTGCAAGAAGAATGAGGAAGTCTCCTTTCTTAGGCATAGAACCAGCCTTTGGCAAAATTTTGATAGGATCTGTTTGTTATAGACATTCTTCTGCTTCCCTTTTCATACCTTTGAACTGATTCCCCGTGACCCTCTCCCAAGCCCCTAATACCTTTATGCTTGCCTTAAGTAAACCCACTTTGGACTTTACACCTGGGCCCATCTTAGTCCCTTCATCCCGAGTGTCCTTTGCTCACAATTACCTGCCTTTTCTGTCCTATCTGGGCTTTTGTTCTCTCTTAATAACTGACCTTACGTAGATGTGTTAGTTTTCTGTTGCTTATAACAGAATACTTGAACTTGGGTAATTTATAAGAAAACGTAATTTATTTCTTACAGTTTTGGAGTCTGGGAAGTCCAAAGTCCAAGGGGGCACATCTGGTGAGGGCCTTCTTGGTGGGAACTCTCTTCAGAGTCCTGTGGTAAAGCAGGGTGTCATATCACAAGGGCTGGGTGAGAGCAGGTGCTCACTTGCTCTCCTTATAAACCCCTAGTGCCACTCCCATGATAACCATTCATCCATTAACCCATTACTCCATGAAAGGATTAATTCATTCATGAGAGCATAGTCTTCACATTCCAATCCCCTCTTAAAGGCCCCTCCTTTCAACACTGCCACACTGGGAATCAAGCTCTGGTACATGAACTTTTGGAGGGGACACATTCAAACCATAGCAGTAGATAGCAGTATTAAGAGGTATAATTACAACTGTCAGTCACCTAATTATGAAAGAAGAATTTATATGTTTAAAAGAAGATACAATGGCTATCAAGACAGCTGACTGGATTCTTCAAAAAATCATTTCATGGGATAAAAGAGATATGGAGGGGGCTGTTCGAGATTTAATGAGGCAAAAGAGACATAACGACAAAAACAATGTGTGAACCTTGTCTGGATCCTGAACTGGGAAAAATAAAAGGTGTAATGGCTATTCTTTGGACATTTGGGGAAATTTAAATAGAAAATGGACGTTATATAATGTTTAATTATTAATTTTCTTAGCTGTGATAATGCTGCTGTGGTTATATAGGAGTCCTTATTTGGAAATGCATGCTGAAATATTATGATTTCTAAAACTTACATTCAAATAGTTTAGAAAAAAATAGAGCAGATATAGCAAAGTGTTAACTGTGGAGTTAATGAGAGGATATACAGATGTTCATTATACTATTTCAGCTTTTATGTATGGCTGAAATTTTTTGTAATAAAAATTTGGGAAAAGGGGGAGATATACATTAGCATAAATAATATCTAAATCATGAAATTTTGTGCAGTAGAAAAGTCAGGCAGTATAGAGAAATTTTTTTGAGCTGGAGTAATTTTTTCTAGCTCCTCTAAACTAATTCATTTCTACTACTTCTTCCCTTATTCTGCTAAGATTAATTCAGCGATTCAGATTTGTCCTAATGCTCTGAGTAAAGGAAGATGGAGTTTCTCAGAGCAATGATAGTTTATATTTACATATAGATTGTTTGCAAATTATAGATTATCAGAACATGATAATCTTTGCCAGTGTGGTTTATGATTTTTTCACCTTGGATAAAGGCTGCTTCAAGTCATTAAAAACAAAAAGTGGTGGACTGGCTGGTTGGCTTAATTGGTTAGAACGCTGTCTGTAACAACAAGGTCAAGCGTTCGGATCCCCATACTGGCCAGCCGCCAAAACCAAAAACAACAAAATAAAAAGTGGACAAAATGTATTCTTTTATATTGAATAGATAATGTAAGTTTCTATGTAAAGATAGGTAATACTTTTAACACTAGTTTCTTAAGAAGTGGATATAACTGAATTTATTGTATTTGGAATAGCTTTAGCCATAACTTTAAAGGTAAGTAACACAAATAGACAATAATTATTGGTCTATTTCAGATCAAGTTACATTATAAATTACAATCATTTCAGAATTAGTGCTAGTTGAAATTAAGACCAAGAGAGGTGGGCCTAGTGATGAATGTTTTTGATTTTTACATTTTAAAAATGAATGGCGGCAACAAAAGAAAAGTTAGTATAGTCATAGAAACAACTTTCCTTTACCTCATCAAAGGTGAAGAAAACTTTTTCCTAAACAAGTGAAAAAGAATGCTGACCATATTTTATTACTAGCACATTTTCAGTTGGGGAGGTGGGAGAGAAGTTGAAGAAATATTATTTCCATGGCTGACATCAATGAGTTTATTGTTTCTAACAGGAATGTAAAGAAGAAGTCAAAATGGATCCAAGTATGGGTGTGAATTCTGTTACCATCTCTGTTGAAGGAATGACATGCAATTCCTGTGTTTGGACCATTGAGCAACAGATTGGAAAAATGAATGGTATACATCACATTAAAGTAAGTTACTTTTTGGAAATTAGTGAAGTTGAATGCCATTGACTAGAATTCTGCTAGGAAATTACTTCTAACACTGGGATAGAAGCAGACACACCGACACATTTGGCAATAAAGACTATTGCACTTCAAACCCTAAAGCTAAATAAGTTTTCTTTGGCCTGTTAATTTCTCTTTAAAAGAAAAAAGAAAAAAAATATTTTTTCAATTTAAAAACATCATCAACATGGAATTTTGGACATAGTGTGGTTGTATATTTATAGGTTTATATTTTATAGGTGTGTAAATGTTTACATACTCATACTTTTTGTTATTCTTAATCTCATACTGAACTAAAATATGTCTTCAGAGAATGAGTTGGTGGTTTACTCTCTCCTTTACAGCACGGCAATTATTGTTTTTGCAACTAAAAATTGAAGTGAAAATGTCTAGAAAATAACTGGTACACCTTGTACAGTATGCCAAGGAAGACTACATTATCATTTAACATTCCTTATGCATCAACAGCATTCTAAGTGTACTGTGGTGAAGATGCAGTTCAGATTATAAAAAAGCCTTATGGAGACTGCAGGAGGTGCCTGTGGTTATCTTAAGAATTTTCATGTGTATATGGCAGGGTTTTGGGAAATGATGGCCTGTAGGCTGAATCCAGCTTGCCACCTGCTTCCATATGGCTCATAAGCTAAGAATGATTTTTACATTTTTACATGGTTGGAAAAAAAATCAAGACTAATATTTAAGAACACATGAAAATTATATGAAATTCAAATTTCTGTGTCTGTAAGTAAAGTTTTATTAGAATGTAGCTACATTCATTAGTTTATGTATTGTTTATGGCTGCTTTTTCACTACAACAGAGATGTGGTGCTCTCATTGCTTCAAACTGCTGCTTGCCACAGTACAAAGCACAGTGATACAGTTACAATTTAACATGCCTTGAGTGCCACTCATATCACTGGATTGCAGCATTTTGTTTTTTATTACCAGTGCACACCCATCATGTCCAAAAAAAAAAAAAGAGAGAGAGAGAAATGGACTTTGAATGTAGTGCTTTTTAGGCGCAGTGGAATATAGATTATTTTGTTATTAAATTAGATGCTCCAAACATTGTTTGTTATACAACAACACTAGGGCAGTGCAGAAGAATACACTATATGTCAGCGTTACCAGAGTAAGCATTCATCACAATCCTCCCAGCATTCAGGAAAGCATCAGTGAGAAAAATCAGAAAATTTAAAATGGAATATCTCATCACAGCAGAATTTCTTCACAAAAATAAAAAATGAAAATGACACTACAACCAAAGTAAGTTTCTGAATGGCTCATTTGTTAGCCACTTTTCTGTCAGGCCTATTCCTCATCTGCAAAATTATGTTGATAGTTCTACATCTTTCACAGAAATATTGTGAAGCAATACTCATTTCTGAATTTTTTTTTTTTTTTCTTTTTGGTGGCTGGCTGGTATGGGGATCTGAACCCTTTACCTAGGAGTTATTAGCACCACACTCTAACCAAGTGAGCTAACTGGCAAGCCCATCATTATTGAATTCTTAACACATACTTCAAAGTACCGACTATTATTGTGGAACTTGAACTTCTTATTGTACTGATAGGCTGCCACAAATAGTACATGTGGCAACATCTCTTCTTTATCCATCCTGACTTTTGTTAAGCCATCATAAGACATCTCCTATAATTCGTGTCTGCACATCCTAATTTTTCTGCAATGAGCATGAATTACTCATATAATTATTATAAATAAATAAGAAAAGCTAAACATCTTGGCACCTCCTAAACACAAGCACCCAAAGTACCAAGGTCACTACAAGACTATCCCAAAGGGAACATAATGGTATCATCCTCTCTCATATTCTGTAAAAATGAATATTAATGTTTTCTGTGCTCATTTATTGACCTAGGTATAGTATGTTAAAGCTGCAAGAGATCTTAGATATGACTTAGAGAGTCTAACCTCCTCGTTTTATACATCAGCTTGGGAGCCCACGGTGCTTCCTGTGGCGGCTCAGTGGTCATCGCTGGTCTGGTTGTGGATGTTGGGGGTGTGTGGCTGAGGCCCTTGAGCCCCCACTGCCCCGACTTGGGAGCCTGGGGCATGATTTTCAAATATTGAACCAGCCATTCATTCCCAGGATAAGTCCCACTTGATCAAAGAATACTTACTTTGAATTAACAATTTCAAATATACACAAAAGTGGAAAGACTATTATGAGGAACCTCCCTATACTCATCACCCAGGAGAATCCTTGCCATTCATTTGCATGACATTCTCATCAAATGGATCTGATAATGTATTTTGCTTATGCTTCTAAGAGTAGGTCCAGGCCTTCCTGCCTATTGGATACTCTGTTCAGGTAGAGGTCTTTGACTAATGGATTGGAATTTCCTAGTACATCTCCACACCAGTTGCCATTTCCAAGCCTTTTTGCTGCTCTGCCTCCCCCCACTTTCCCTTGCTACTCTGTGGTTCTTGGCACTGACTGTAGTGTAGCCAATTTTAGCCCTCTTTCCCATGCTTCATTCAGTTTGGTTCCACGCCTGTTCTCCCCAATTTCTCTCCAACTTGTATCTGAGGTTCCAAAGAAATTAACAATATCACTTTCTTGCCAAAAGTTTGAGGATTCCTACTGTAATGACAATAATATATGGCAGCTTTTTCTTAAATATTATATACTATGAGTTACTTATTCTTGAACATGTTTATTTTCACTGCCAGGGCTTAATGAATCAATCCTAAGATGTGTCATTTTGGCTGAGTTATGTTCTCATTTGTGTAATATACTAATCATTTCAATATATTATTTAAATTTTCACCTTCATTAAAACAGCTTTATATTGGTGGTGGTTCTATTTGCTTGAGGTTTTCTGTAATTTTGCTTTTATGCAATGTTCATTACAGTGATAGTGGAAAGCTAATGTCACTTTGGAATTTGATCAGTTTGCATCAATCCTAGAATGGTTTTCCATGACTAGTTGAGATCCACATGCAAAAAATATGTTTTTAGACATACTACCCAGAATAGATATTAATATTCGAAAGGGAGCTTTGTCCAACTGCATGTCAGATTTAGCACGAGATTTAAAATTAGGGATCCCATGAATTCTTTCTAATTATCACAAGGTCATTATATTTTTAAGTGTATAGAACATGAATATTTTGTGTTTCTGCAGATCAGATACTTATGGGAGCTTTGCTTTTAAATTATTCTTAAGCTAAACATTAATTTCTATCCATTTATGCTTCAGAGATTTCAGAATGGTTTTGGCTTTTCAGTGAAGTACAGGATTTATACTTTCTTGTCTCTACAGTATTTTTGTCTATGATTCTGACTTCTCATAAGATCTTGAGTAGATTGGCTTCAGTTTGCCTGATTTTTATTAGAAAAAAATTGGCTAATTGGCATATCATGATTCTTTATGAGTTGATACATTTCCTTAATTCAAGAGTCATGTGAAGTGTGGTACTAATATGTAGGAAATTCTTTTCCAAATCTGAAACTGTAGGTGATTTTTCTCATGTCTGAATTTCATATTCATCTTGGTGAAAGAGGATAAAGTCAACTTTGGATCCATCTTAATATCTGGGGGGAAAGCAGTGTTTCTCACTTGTTGATTATACGCTGATTTGCTAAGACCATGATGATAGCTGTGGCTAGAAAAGCTTTATTTACATAGTGTAATATGCCTTCAGTTCTACGACTTGAAAAATGAGCTATTTAATTTCAGTGAGTAATAACTATGATACCTTCACTTGATTTACCCTCACTTGATTTATCCTCAAATGAAACCAATTAAACCTCCTCCACTAAGTTTTCCATCCTATAGGCATCCATGTGAATACTTGGATATGAATTTTAAATTTTCACATGCTCCAAAAGGAGAAATTTCTTTTGTATTTACCATTTACCTTGTCATAACTCCAGTCTTAGAGGACCCTGCATTGCTTCTTCCCCCACACACCTCCCAACAAGGATGCAGTTGCCTTTAATTTGCTTTGGGAAGAGAGCCAAGTTGGAAAAACTGATAGGTGACAGGTAATTATTTTATTTATTTACTGTATTGCAGATTTTCTCAAATGAGTTTATCTTCTAAATATTCAAATGTATAAAAACATTTTGTAATTTTTTCACTAATCATAACTATGAAAAAACTAGATTAATATTTTGCAGTTTGTTGATTATGAAACAATAGCAAAAGTAGCTCTGCAACCTTCAGTTCTACAGCTTGAGTAATGAGTTGTTTAATTTTAGCGAGTAATAAGTATGATACCTTCACTTGATTTATCCTCAGATGAAACCAATTAAACCTCCTCCACTTGATCTAAGGTAGGGCTGGTGCTGGGGGCCAGAATAGAAGCTGAATCTTACTAATTATATAGTAGTGTCTGTGCTAATTGTATTAAAAATATTTTAACCATCTAGAAACTAGTTCACATAATTTTTCTCCAAATGACTTATGTACTTACTGTCTACTGACAACTAATGTATTTTCCAAAACTCCCAACTCTTTGTCTAGCAGACTATTTTAGGTGAATATTTGTTTCTGTCAACAGATCATGTATACCTAAAGGAATAGATTCTGCTTTGATATTTCAAAGTACACTCCTATTTCCCAAAACAGCCTATTTGCACTCCATTCATAAGTAAGGCTGCTATATCCACTGCCTCTTCCCAGAATTCACTACTGCTTAATAAAGTCTGTTTAAGGTCAGATAAATGCAATTCAATTTTGGTTACATTGTAAAGGAAGAATAGCAGCAATATAATGTGAAAGCACTTTGTGTTATCAACAGTGATTTGTATGAATCCCAGTGACAGACACTGAAGGCTATATTTTCCAGGGCACATTCATAATTTGATTGCTAAAATAAAAGGAAACATACTTTTTGCCTTTTCCAGCTTTGCCTCTCCTCCTTTCGTCAAAAGCCCTTATGATGCAGGGTGTATTAGTGACCTTTCTCTTTTTTCCTTCCTTTAAAAAATATG